AACTCAGTTGTAAGTTTATAAACTCATTTGTAAGTTTCATACGAGTTTCAAGTTATAAATAAAGGAATCAATTTAAATCCATACAAATTACTTTTCCCTTCAACGTTGTCCTTCACCTAGGATTGTTGTAATATACTACACTAACTTGCTATTGAGTTCATTATTACGAGTTTGACTAATATATCTTAAGTTCTAAGACGTGATAAATTGCTGAGTTGATTCTAGTATAACGGATACCTGTAGAACTTAGAAAAAATCCTAAGGTCAGAAACTCCAACGTGTAAAATCAGCTGCCGCAGCCTTTTAACTTCGATGTTAAGATAAATGAACATGAACCCGGTAACAACGTCTATCAGGTCTATTGGTCTTTCCTCTTCTGATATAACTGGTGAATTCAGGACAAACTTTTCACCAATTAAATTAGTTAAGGCTAAAGTTCTGCTAGATTAGGATGATTGTGAACCTCTCCTAATAGAATTTGGATTTACAATAATATTGATATTTTTTTTACAATCAGAAAATGGACATGTGTTAGGTTTGGTATGTAGAAGTTGCTTCTCAATACATGGCCTGTGAAAAATATGACTGTATAATGAGTTTTATATAGTAAAATAATATACAAATTATGTGATTTATATGATCATGTGATAATTAAATAAAATAATCAAATTGATAATTTTTTTTATTTAATAAATCAATTCTTTTTTATAAATAGAATTCAAATTTTTTAATTTTTTTAAAGAATCAATTATAAGATAAAATTTTATTTAAAATTTTCTAATTTTTGATTATAAAAATCTGAATGAGTCGAGTTGAGTTGAGTTTAAAGATCAACTCTATTCGACTCTTTTTTTTAAGTTGAATTGAGTCAAATTTATTTTATAAAATCTTTTAATTTGATTTGATTCAAGTTATATAAATTTTAAACTCAACTCAACTTGACTTAATTTGATTTTAACTTGATTCAATTTTAACTTGAATTTATTCAAATTAAGTCAAGTTCAAATCAAGTTATGAGTCAATTTTAAATTTTTATAAACATTTAAATATAAAAAAAAAATCAGCAAAAAATATTTATTTAAAAAATGAAAATATCAGAAAGAGAAAAAAAAAATTTAAAATTAAAAAACAATATCAAAAAAAAATTAATTAAAAATGAAAAAAATTTAAAATTAAAGAATAAAATCAAAAAAAAAATGAAAAGATTAGAGGGTGAAGGAAAGTGAATGATTCGTCATTATTCTTCTTAAACAATTTTTTTTATCGTTTAAGTCAAACAATTCGTCATCATTTTTGAACAATTTTTTTTATTATTCAAGTTGACAATTCAGGTTATCGTTCTTCTTGAATAATTTTTTTTATTGTTTAAGTCAAACAATTTATCATTGTTCTTCTTGAATGATTTTTTTATTATTCAAGTTAAACAATTTGTCATCATTCTTGAATGATTTTTTTTGTTGTTTAAATTAAACAATTTCTTATTGTTCTTTATTAATGACTTTTTATCGTTCAAGTTGAATGATTTTTTATTATTCTTCTTAAATTATTTTTTTATCGTTTAAATTGAATGATTTCTTATCATTTTTCTTGAACGATTTTTTTTATCATTCAAATCAAATGATTTCTCATTATTCTTCTTAAATGATTTTTTTATTGTTCAAGTCTAATGATTTTATTATTTTTCTTGAATGATTATTTTTCTATAGAACTGCAGTCCTAGAACTGCAGTTTCAAGACCTGGTCTTAGAATCTAGTCTTAGGACCCAAGTCCTATAGATTGGGAATTTTGGGATCAGACTAAAACCGAACTGGATTTTAATATCCCTAAAAATAATATTATTTTAAGTCAACTCGAGTCAATTCAAATCAACTCGAATTAAGTCAAGTTTAAATTGAATCAAGTTAAATATTTAACTTGACTAAAATTTAACTTGACTCGCAAATCATTGAGTCAAAAAAACATAAACTCAGCTTAATTTAAACTTGACTCAGCTTATCTGATTCATAAGTTAACTCTACTTGTTCAAAATTCTATCTATTACATAAAGTAAATTAACTTCTAGTGATAATGTAAATCAAGTAAAGCAAATATATAATGATATAAATGATTACTTAAATTATTTGGTAAAATGATCTAATCTGAAATATAAGAATTAGATGAAAAGAATTCTAATGATAAAAATTATCTTTTATAGCTTTACAATTCTTAAAAGAGATAATGAATCATTTAAAAAAATGATAATAAATTATTTAAGAAGAACTATAATTCATTATTCAAGTAAAATAATAATGAATCATTCAAGAAGAACGATAATTTATCATTCAAGTAAAATAATAATGAATCATTTTTAAATAATAATAAATTGTTTAATAAGAATAATTTGATCTAAATTCAAATTCAGATCTGACAGGTTAAATATGAAATCTAAATCTAAATCTAATAGATCAGATTTGAATCTATATCTAAACCTGATTTAAATCTAATTAATCTGATCTGAATCTAATTATTAAATTCAGATTAGATTTGAATCAATTTGGATTTATGTAAAATACTACATTTAAGTATAATTTTATTAAAATATATATCAATATTTAGTTAAATTATAACATAAGTAGTTAGCTATAACAAATTAATTTTATATAAATAGAATAACTTTTTGCTCAAGTTATAAATTATACTTTTTTATAAGTATGTATTTCAATATTATTAATAAAAAAATCAATTTAAATTTACAAAATTACTTTTTCCTTCAATATTGTCTCTTATCTAGAATTTATTATAATATCCTACACTAACTTGTTTTTGAGTTTATCATTATGAGTTTGATTAAATATATCTTAAAATCCTAAGTTATAATAAATTGCCAAGTTAATTTAAGTATAACAGGTACTTATAAGATTTAGAGAAAATTCTAAGGTCATAAACTTCAATAAGTAGAATTAATTGTTACAACCTTTTTAACTTAGATGTTAAAGTAACGAAAAATGAATCTAATGATAATATATAATTAATATTATTTCTTTTGTATTAAGAATTCATTAACTTAAAAAGTTAAAGTTTTTTGATTTATAAAATTTATTTTTAATTTATTATTTAAATAAATTTTATGTAATTTAATTTTAAAGCTAAATTTAACAATTTTTTACTTTTTTAAATATATATAAAAATACAAAGTTGAATAAAATTACTGACGTAGTTTGTATAAGTTAATGAGAGTTTTGTTAAAAAATTACAGAATGTTAAGCATCAAATTTTTTAAAATCTGAAGCAAAAGTTCTAGTTTGTTTTCAAGAAATCTTCATTTATCTTTAGAAGAAATTTTCTTTTTTTTTTAAGCATAATAATCAAAACAAAAGAAAAAAAAAATTGAAATCGAAATTTATATACTTTATTAAATTCTGTAATACAAAATTTCTTATAAAAAAATTCGTTATTCATAGAGAATTTCAACTGTATATATATATAAAAAAAAAAAATAAACTAAATTAAAAATAAGTGAGACAGTTGAAATATTTTGTAATTTATCCTTGCAATTGTAAAGATAATGAACTAATTTCCTTTAGCGTTCTTTACACAGGGAGGACAACTTTTAGGTCTAATATGAACGTGACATTTATGCGCATGACGAAACCAAAGCATTGAGTTTTTTTTTCTTGTAGCAGCGATAGGAACCCATTGACCGCATTGATGACACAATCCTTCAATACAATCATCATCAAATTTTCGCGTCTCGATTGGAGAAACAAACGTTTTGCCAGAAACAGAAGAAATACCGTGGAAGAATTGTTTATGGTACCTAATTTAGCCAGATATTGAAGGATTGTTATTAATAAAATCAATTCAATAACGATAACTAATTAATATCGAATTTGATCAATTTAAATACCAAAAGGCGCTATTCCTCAGTTGTAACCATTTACCCGGTTTGCAATTATCACAATATCCTTCTTTAGCATGGCCTGAATATCTCACCCATTGAGGAGTATACATGTCACCGGGATATCTAAGCTTTTGCCTTCGAGGTTGAGCATCTGATCTTGAATTGCTAAGATCAACGGAAGGTTGTGGTGTCTCTGGAATAAAATCATCCTTAATGATTTTTGGTCGAATTTGTTAAACGTCAAAACTTTTTGTATACAGGTTTTTTTATCAATATTGTTAAAAGCATTATAGAAGATATAGGTAAAAATAATTACTTGAATTTCAAACGTTTTTGTTCGTTGGCTTATAGAATGATTTGAATTGTTGGATGCGTTAAATGATATCTCGGGTGATATATCAGCTTGTATTGCACGCTTGCGAGAAGGTACTTGTTTAAGATAATTGTTTGTTGTAAAATGTAAAGAAGTTTCTGATTGAGGTGGATTGGATGAAATAATGACTTTGTCTTCCAAACAATAAAAAGGAAGAGTTTGTTGTGCATTTTCATTTTGGATCGGACCTAATGAATGGTCGATCCAGGAATAATCATTGTGATTATCATCGTAACATAGTTCATGAAAATAAGTTGACTGCTGTAAATGAGGTTGTGAAGATTTCAAGAGTGACGGTAACCTAGAGAAAGGATTATTTTCAAATGGTTCTGGAAACATTAGACGATCCTTACGATCATGTTTAAGAACCAAATCACTTAATAAAAGGTTACCTCTTTAAGTATGAGACACAAAATGGAGACGATCTTTTATTATTCACTTCATCAATATTATTAATTGTGTCATTTTCTTGGACATTAAGGTTGTTAGATGATAAATGGTGGATGTCCATAGGTATAGACCGAATTTCTTGTTGGATAGAAGGCGAGTCAGAATTGACCCACGGTCTAAATATTGATTCTGAGTACAAAGAACTGTGGTAACGATTTTCTTCATATTCGATATTGAAAAGACAAGGATCAATAGTTTCATATGAAAAGAGTGTTTGATTTGGCTTTGGTATATTATTATTGAATAATGCATTTCGGCCTGAATGATAACTATATATATTGTTATCGTGTGTATCATTATCTGAATGCCATTGTGCAGTGTCATTATCAACCGCAAAATAAGCTGGCTGTTCATATTGGTTAGTTTGTGAAGACATATCTAAAGACTTTTGCCGATCGCTATTCAAGAGTAGATCGAGTTGATCTGTATTTTGATACCTCTCAATGGATTGAATAGTTGTTAATTCTTTAATTCTTTGTATATTTGCATCAATTTGGTTTATGTGAAAGTAGAAATTCGGATTTGGATGATTGGATTCTACATTACTATGACTTAAACTATCGAGCACGTTATTATTTTCCATCGAAAAAATGTCAAGCGTTGGATATGTTGACGTTGAAGGATGATTTAACGTTACGAACATCAAATTCTACATTTAATGAATGAGAAAGTTAAATACAATTTAACTTTAATACATCATGAAACATGAAAATGAGTAACTTACGTTGGTTAAACGTAATATTATTTTTCTGTTGTTCTTTTCAATCAATTCAGCTTTATAACTTGTTTTCATTTGGCAATTCTAATATCTGATATTTTGGGTACACATGATTTAAGAATTGGGACTTGTTTTGTATTATTATTAAAAAGAAAATTAACGTTTTACGAACTTAACCGAATTCTTAATAGTAAAAAGTTGTTTAAAAAAGTCAATTTTTGTTCAACCGAAAAAAATAGTGTAACGACGTCAGAAACAAAGTTTAGAATTTTTCCGAGGCATATGAATAAGGAAAGATAGCAATAAAATTTTTACCAATCTTTAAAAAACGAGGAAAATGAGATTTCAGTAGAGAAAAAAAATTTATGTAAACGATTTCTTTTCTGATGATCACATAATATGATATTCGTGATTCATTTTGACAGGTTTACGACAAAGTAATTAAGCACGAATGAAGGAACCTTTATATAAATATTATATTAATTGCGGTATCAAAGAATAAAAATGATATTGATGATATCTTCTAAACCTTGTGATTTTGATATCACTTGGGATTGATCTCGAATTACGCGTTATTTTTAAGAGTTTTGGGAATTTTGATCTAAATGATTTATCACCTTGTGCGACAATGATTCTTCTCACAAAAAATCGTAACCAAATTTCTACATTGAGTTATTCATTTTATAACTGAAACTCGCCATGTTCTGAATCACATAAAACACTGCCGAGCGAACTCGAAATACTTATTAATCACACTGAAAATGGAAACTAAAGGTCTTTTTTCATACATTGTTATGTCGATATTGCGTAAGCCGTACCCTGCGAACTCTAGGAAATCTGCTTTCCTGAAGTGGGTAGCATGTTATGGTCTGGACCCATTATGGCATGTGTGACTGCGCAATCTATTTTGATACATCTACTTACAGTCGCTCCTTTATAACTAAAAAACAAATAAGTACTGACCTCGGGCGATTTGGGAAAATTTCAAGATAACTTATTAAAAGTTACAGCTGAAAATAAGGTTAATGAAAATATTAATAAGGTATTCTATCCTGTTTAATCTAATATACCGTCTATCTTTCTTTTCTACTTAATCACAATATTTACAAAAAAGCAGTTTGTATCAAAAGATACATTATTATAATCTTCGTGAAAAACCATTCTATTGTCTTAGTGATATACCCTTAAAAAAAAAAGATTATGTGAAATTATATGTATTTATATGCATATATATAAAGAATCAATTTTGTAATATCACGCAACGCCTACATTAAAACCTATAATTCCTAACAAAACTTCACATTAAGTAGCAAAGTCAAAATTAGGTAATAACAAGTCCTTTAAGGGAATAGGCTCTAACGTCAGCCTAAGCTAACTCCTTTTCCTTATTTGTAAGGTATCGAAGAATATGGTGAGCACCATTGATATCCCCTGTCAAGATTTGTTTTGTATTGGGAACAGCAAAACACCTTGGATCCGCCTAGCTTTTATGGATATAGCCAAAGAATCCACGTTTTGCTTGTGTATTCTTCAGTACAAGCTATTACTTGACATCACGGATGCTCGTGTGTTTTATGGAACAGATGCTGTCGAAATCGAAAATGTGACTATGTACACATAGCTCAGGTGATCTTGGAACCAATGCGTCATTACCCGCGTCTGTTCATTCCTTGAATGCGAATTTATACGATAATTGGCCAGCTTATAATGACAATCATCTAGATAACGGATTCTCTTATAAATCTGAACGCGTTCTATTATTAAATTAGTTAATATTTATATTATAAATAATATTATACTGTATATACTAAATAAAAATTATATAGTTAAACTGTAACGTTTACACTTATTTCTTTTTCCATGAATACAACCATGCTGGATTTGAAGTTTGTTATATGCATTACATAGTCGGTAAATTCGCCTAATATCATCTTTTTCCATTTCCACTTGGATCAATATCAGCTATGAAAGAGCAATACACCTGGATCCAAAGCAATGACTCTGATCTTTCCTTTTTTTTTAATAATATAATGAAATAATATAATGAATTAATCTAAATAAATACCTTTTGTATTTCTGAAATAAAGAATCTTGACTTTTGGCTTAATTTCAAGTGGTTGGGAAATGTAAAGATAAAACTAATCAAGTTGATTTACTATAAATTGTGTATCATAATTGTGCTTTACTAAAGAGATTCGGCTGCTTTATCTTACAAAGAAAGTATATACCATATTTCTCTAAAAATAAGCACTCCTAGAAAATAAGCATTATCTTAATTTTTTAGTATCCGAAAATAAGCACTATCACATATTTTAGTATCTGAAAATAAAATAAATGCTAAAACAAATCCGATTTTATAAAATTTAATGTTTTTTATTTATTTTATTTTAAAGAATTCATTCCTATATATAATATTTTATGTCAATTTATTTCAAAAAGTTTAGAAATGAAACTAAAAAAATATTAGAAAAATTATATATTAATTGTTTTAATAAACAAAATATTTCATATCTAAATTTACATTTTATTTTAAAAATAATTTAATTATTTCACAATTATTATATGTATTATTCGCTTTAATTATTCATTTAATTATTTCACAAAATATAGTATTTTATTATAAATGCAATTTAATGTTTTATAAAATATGCATGTGTATAGTAAATTGAAATTAGAAATTACAAGATTTATTAAATACTTTGATAGGTCTTTAATAAATCTATATAAACTTTCTAATTGTTTATATAAATATCAAAGACTTTTTATAGAAATTATTAGACTAATTTATATATTCCTGTAAAAGGTCTGATTTTTTATTGAAATATCAGTATTTATATCAGTATTTGACAATTAGACAATTTTAAACAATTTTATACAATTTTAAATACTTTTTCTTATATCTAAAATCTTGTCCAAAACTATTAAAATCTAAAAATATGTCTAAAACCCATTACTGATTTATATGATAAAATATCATATATAAACAAATATATCAATTTTTACCTTATATATTTAAGACCTATTTAGCAAATATTAATTTTCTAATCTATTCTAATATTTGCCTAATATTCAATATACTAATACTTATTTATTTAATCTGTATCATTTTTTTCTAAAGTTATTTTAAAGAAAGATAAGTATTTTTTTTTAAAAAACTAATATTTTAATTATTTATAAACTTAGCTTTATTATCTTATTCAATTTAATTTTTTTTTTTTTATTTTAACATGCGGTAGCTTTGCACAATCTTTATTAAAAGTAAAGTAAAAGAAAAAATTACAAATTACAAATGAGAGAGTACAAAAATTTCTATCTAGTAAGGACTAAATCAAAACTAACCTTACATCGTTCTAGACTAACCTACCCTAAACTAATTTAAAATAGGTTCTACCATCCAGTATGGGAGCCTGGTTACTACCGTTCCAAAAGTTTGACCAGTGCGATCCAAAGAGGAATGAATTATGAAAATAGGGAGGGATAGTAAAGGTGTGAGGGGTGGAGTTAGAAAATCCAGTTGATACAGTATTTTCTTTTCGATCCTTGAGAGATAAGTTGTGTTCATCTTCAAATTTTTTTAAGGTGACACATCGATCGACTTTGATTTTTCTATGAGTGAAGTGGTATGTTGAGGAAAGTAGATCACGGACAAGTGACTTATTATTAATTATATGATTCAGTTTCGTTGTAAGCAAGGATGGAACTATGCCTTTTATAAAGTCAATAAAATTAAAAGAGGAGTGTGTAGAATTAAGGTTCCAAATATCCATTGAAATGATGCTTGCTATATTAAATTGTTGATTGAGTTCAGACAAATGCTGAGAGAGGAAGGCGATAGTATCTAATAAAATGTCGTTGACTTATTGTGAAGTATGTTGGCAAAGCCAGATGTGATCGAAATTCTCCAAGCTAGTAAGGCATTTAGGGCAGGACTATGAAGGATCATATAGTTTGGGGTAACGCATTTTGAGTACCTCAAGTGAAGGGAGGAGTTCAAGCAGGAGTTTGACTTTGAATTTTCGTATAGAGGAGACCTTATAGGATGTGACAGAGTCACTTTCATTATCATTGAATACAAAGGTAGTGTTAATCCAGTCTACCTCTAGTGTTGAGTATTTTTTAAAATGTGGAAGGAGTTGAATGTTGTGAAAGTCAATGAAGTTGAGGATGTCTTTGATAAAATGTCGTGAAGGCGTCAGAACAATCTGGTTGTTGTAATGGAGGGTATAGTTGAAACCTAAATTTGACTGTATTAGAGTTGTAGGTGGACTTATTTCTTTGGTGAGTCGGTCAACTTCGTTATTATAGTAGTCGTCAACATAAGCTTTGACTTTATAGAATATGACATCTATGTTTTTCTCTTTTAACTGGCGGAAGAGTGAACACCAAATAGGATAATTTGAAGCTTTGAAAATGGGGTTGAATGTAGAGGCGCAAGAAAGAAAATAATTTATTTTTGAATAAGAGGCTATGGTAACTAATGAATCTGTGAAAATGTCGATATTGGAGTTAGGGGGTGAAACTTGAATTGCAGCTAAAACTGCTACTAATTCAGCTAGAGAAGAAGAAGGTTGGGGAAGGGTAATAGAAGCATTGAATGAATGAAGGGGTGCTGATGGATCAACTTACAACTAGGCAATCCCTATACAAGATGAAGAACTACCTAAATTAGAGAGAGAACCGTCAGTATAAAATGAAAGATTAGTTAATTGTGAGAACAGAAGCAAGAGACTATCTAATTGAGTAGCTATAACTGAAGTAAAAATATTCGATAAGACAACATTAATAGGAGGTATAGGAGGTTCAATATTAAAAGTGGGATCTGTGTGTATTTTAAAATTAAAAAGAGCCATTTCAAAGATCATATACGGGGAAAGGGGACAAAGATAACCAAGGTTATATGTGGAAAATGCATGTAAAATTGAATATAATGGTAGCGCTAATTTAAAGAAGCATGAATAATTTTTGTTTCTCATATTGGAAGGTATGAAAGTGGTATTGTCATTCATAGAACAGCTATTACACACAATGAGGACAGATTTCCAAGAAGTTTCCGCTTGAAAATGAAAGTGTTGTAT